TCCGCTCCGCTCCGCTTTGATCCAGCGCCTGTCCCGATATGGTATATGAGCCATACAATAACAAATTCTTTCTTCAATATGTATTATTTGTATTAAATCTTCTAGTTCATTTTTAAATTTTCTTTAGAACCTATATCAAAACCTACTTAAGAAGCATAAATACTTATAATAATAAAAATCTTAGTATCAACAACAATCTTAAGTGTTATAATTCTATCTCCAATTCTATTAATTTTAATTTTTACAACATCTACAACATCATCTTTCAAACTCTTATTTATAATTACACCTACACTATTTCTAGTTTGACTCCTACCTGAACACCAAACTTTAAAACCTAAGCTATTAATCTCCTTAGCTTTTTCTAAGACCCATTTAATTTATGCTTAACACACAAAAAAAAAACAAATAAATCGAATAACTACATAAATAATTAAGTAGAGGGGCCCTAGGGCATTGCTTTAATTAATTTCCCCTTGAGAATTTTTTTCATGTAAACACTTCCAATATAAAATTGGATAAAATCAAATAAACTATGGAAGCACAAATATTAGAAACTTCAAAATTATAGCATTTTTTCAATGATATTCCCATGAAGTGCAGGGACTATTTGAAAAAGCGAGATATTATGATACATAATCTGAGAGACTTAAATGATATTATCCAAGGCATTTATGTAGTAAAAAAGTGTTAGGCAATCTCAAGGCAATATGGCTACCTAATGCTTGATGAGTTGGGTGCAATCCTAGAAGCTAGCCAAGTAAAGTGAAGTGCCAAACAAGAAATAATTACATCACTTAAAAACTAATTTTGGAATTATGAAATATTTAGAGGGATTTTAATGGCATAATAATCACACTAATCTAATCAAGTAACTTACAAAAATTTCAAGCTCCATTATATTCCCACCACTAAAATTATTGATAAATATCTTAACTTGAACAAGTGCACTAAACGAAAAAATTTCAAGTTCCATTATATTCCCACCGTTAAAATTATTGGTAAATATATTAACTTAAACAAGTGCACTAAACGAATATGTTTGTTGTATTCATAGGCTAGGGAATCAAATCTTGACTACTATCTACTCCATCTTTGTAATCATACATACTATCTTTTTCATCATTAGATTTGTAGCTTTTAATCTTCATGTCTCCTCAAACTCATCTTCTTCTTACTCAAGATTTATGACAATAGAACTTGAAACTCTTCTGCCAACATTTAGTTTATTTTTTTCCTGGCGCACACACTTAGTGCTCTTAAAGCTCGTTTTTTCATCACTTTATATCAAATTATTATCCTACAAAACTAAATAATTTCTCGAATAAGAAGCATAAGCACCCATCACATCACTTTAATCAAGGGCCAAGGCAAGGCACTCCCTTCATTATCTGATGATTTGAGGGCTTAATCAAAAGCCTAGCTAGGCTTTAATAACATTCAATTTCCCTATAAAATTGGTAGCTAGATATAACAGTAGGTAGCAGAGGCAGCACGCACCATGCCAAAAAATCATCTTCAATTAACCAAGGCCCTCGAAACCTATATGCTAACTTCGTGCAAGACCCAAAAACTAAGAAGAACTTGAATGAAACAACTTAAAGCAGTTATGAAGAAACGGTGGTAAAAGGAACAAAATGATCCAGTATATGACCGGTAATGTTAGGCAAAAGAAAAGCGTTTTTACCTTTTCAATTATCCATCTTACTCGAGCCACCAGCATTAATCACATTCCCTCCACCGCATCCCAATATCTCCTTAGACCCAGTGGTCGAGCTCCCCATGCATTGAATGTTTCCAATCTCACAGCTTCCGTGAGCCTGGTGCATTAAACTGGCTTCAACCCCATTCTTCCCCTGCATCGCAGGGAGAAAGCAATAAGCCTGATCATCACATCTGAAATCACAAGGATTCTGAGCATGGGCGCCATTCATATAGTTTGGCTGTGGCATCTGTGAAATTGAGTCTCCTCCCACTTTCATTGGTTTCAGATAAGGAAAAGATCCAATCTCTCCCTCTATTCTCCCCCTTATATCAACAAGCAAGCAGCGAAGCCTCGCAACCTCAGCTTCCAAAGCAGCTTGCCCCTGCAGCTTTTTCATCAATTGCTGATTGATTTCTCTCAACTGAACAACTTCATCTTCCAGAGATGCCGCTCGAGCCTTCTTCTTCTCCCTGTACTTCCTCACCGCCTCCCTGTTGCCAAAAGATCGTTTCTTGTTTGAGCCCTTCTCAGCAGACTCCGCAGTCTCGTCAGTTGGAGCCGAAAGAATCTTAGTGTGGACATGGAAACAGGTGTGGGTGTGAGATAGATCAGGACCAGGAGGATTGCAGGTGTGAGTGTGAGTACAAGAATGATGTTGGGTGTCTTTGAGGATCTCATCAAAGAAACTGTCCATCGAACAGCTGCTCGGTAGTTCCTCTCCTGCATTAGGTCCCGAAAAGACTTCCGGATTCGAAAAATCTAAATCGGGATCATCCATCACCCCGACGTGAAAAAAAAACCTAATTGCACAAACTGCAATCCAGAATTCAAGTCGGACGAAACTAAATTTGCAGGCTTGATCACGAATTGAAAGAGAATAGAACCAAATTCAATAGCCGCGGCATGAATAACTTGAAATTGAAGAAATTTGAAACCTCGTCATTGGAGAAGCTCGATGGTTAGACTCAAATGCTACCTCGGACCCCACATAGGAGATTCCCACTCGAAAAGGAAGTTATGAATTCACCTTCCTCCATCTGCCTCCATGGCTTCGGGTAGAAGCAGTGCGGAAGGAGAAGGAAGATGGGAGTTTCGGGTCTCTGTACGCCACGATCACGCCGTTGCCTTCCCAGTTGGCTCTAATTGCGACTGTATCGCGAGGGTTCGGTCAGAAAGGCGACGTTTTGCGCAAAAACCAGAAGAGGAGGGGAAGGGTTTTGGTCGAAACTGGGAAAAGGGGAGCGATGCAGGGAAGAGAGTGAAAGGGGAGATGATTGTTTGTTTTAATTTAGTTTTATTTAAGTTAATTTTATTATTATCAAAATAATTATATTAGAAAAAAAAATTTTGTAATTATTTAATACTTATTTAAAAATAAATATTTTAAAATTAGCCCTCAACTTGTCATGTATGACGTATGTTTCTTGAAATAAAATTAATAAAGAAATTCGATGGTTAATCCGTAATCCGAGGATGAACAGAAACCGTGCAGATAAAAAAAAAAAAGATTTGGGCGTTGGCGGGCCACATTCGGCGTCGGTCAGGCTAACTCAGACTTTGATAAATCAAAATAGGCTCGAGCCAGATTTGAGCCCGATCTCTATTTAAAAACACATAAGTAAGCTCGCCCATACTAAGCATCGGGCCGGATCGAGCTTGGTCACCAGCCTTAAAAAGGAAAAGTTATAGCAAAATTCTGCTTGATAGAAGTTCAATATTAAAAAATTAACAATTTCATTTCTTATTGAGGTACAGAAATTAACAATGTATTCACATCACATGTAAGTGCATCTAAAACAAAAGACTAATTCTTAGCAAATTCTTAGCAGTAAAAGGCCAGACAAATAAATTACATTCCTTTAACGCGTAGCCACCCATAAAAAATTATTACGTTCGGAGTCCAAACGTAGAGATACGTTTGGAGTCCAATGAATCACCTCCACGTGAGCTGATAGAAAAAAAAAAAAACATGTTTTCTTTTATCCGGCCGGGTAACACAAGGAAATATTTCTCTCATGTTATTTTGCATTATTCAGGTGTTATTGTGATGGTATTGATGTGTTATTGTGATATTATAACATCGAGAATATTCTCAGAACACAATAATACATGAATATCACCACATAACACCTGGATAATATGGAATAACGCGAGGAGAATATTCTCATGTGCTAAAATGATTTTTTTTTTTAATTTTTCTGTCACCTCCACATGACGTGATTTCATTAGACTCTAAACGTATCTCTACGTCTGGACTCTAAACGTAATATTTGTTCGCCAGCAATTGATCGACGCAGCCCCAACAAAACATATGGCGGCACAACAACTTCCTTGTTCCTATCATTTGTAATAAAAGTAAAATAACAAAAGTTTAGAGGTTAGATATGTAAAAGTAAGATTTGGCTGGTATGCATGTAAATGCCCCGATCATTTGCAATATGGGAATGTTGGTAATGCAGATTATTAAACAAAGTTTGAATTAAATATAGTAATGGTATCAATTTAACACAAAGCTCCAGAATGACAGATCTGCTCACCAACAGGTTTGCAGATCTCAATCTAAAATGAATGCTGAAGAGAAGTTACAGAGCTGAACTTCTATCCATTCCAAACCTATTTACATATCAAACACTTCTGTTGAGAAGTTACTGAGCTGAAATTCGAGGCATGAGCTGATCATGTTGCACCAATTTTACCACCAATAGTGGTCTAAATAATCTCCAGCAGCAGGAACCACATGCAAGCACACTTTCTCCAAAACTCTAAGCTTTGAATTCTACCTAGAAGAAGCCTCCACAAATATGATGATAATAATAACTAGGAAAATTAGCATATGTAGCACACATGGAAATTTACATAGCACTTTGATGCATTCAACCTAAAGCTGCCGTTATATATGGCTTGGATCTTCTGGCATTCCTCCTTGCTAATAAAAGAGCAGCAACCACAGATATACCGAGTAAATTAGCTCTGAAGCCTAAAATTGTTACATAACACTAAAAACAAGCATCTAATGAATGAATAAAGAATAAGTAGAATTTAAAGCCCCTTTGTGATCATTTAAGGACTACTTGTTCTTGAGTGCGGGGACATGAAAATTGGTGGAGGATCCCATTGTGGGTTAGGAATTGAGAAGATTATATCCCCCACCCCCATCAGATCGGAAAATGTGGATTGTGGTGTTAAATTTATTTTGAAACAAATTGATATAATTGATACAAATCACAGTAGTTTTTGTTTTACTCCGCATTGGAAACACCCAACAAAAACGCAAAAAATCATCAATAAGAAACAATAAATATTTATAGTCTTGAGTGGATACTTTTGTGGTTGGACCTCATACATCAGAATATAGTAAATGCAAAGGTGCATGAGTGTGTAAGGAAGGAAATAAAAATGGTTGTCTACGATTCTTGTTGCAACTGCACTTTGTACATATATGTGTAGATATTGTTATATCTAAGCTAGGATGGCTTTTAAAGACAAGATAATAACTTCAAGGTGTGGATGACTGAGATGCTCGTGTCATAAGATGGATTTCTTGGTGGTTTTAGCTAGAGCATAGGTGTTGGGAGTCGGTGTGGGAGTGATCTGTTGTGAAAAACAATGACAATAAAGCAAAAAATTAGAACGAGTAAAATTGCACGTAGAAAAAACACCAGAGCGACACACAAATTTACGTGGTTCAACAAATTTTTCTACTTCCACGGAGCTGCAGATGATTTATTTCTTCGAGGAATTACACCGTCGAGCACCTCGACGTTTACAAGAAAATCTATATTTTCTTCTCTTCATCTCTCTCTCTCTTCGTCTCTCTCTCTTAGCTCTCAAGATGACTTGGCTTGGCTTGACTTTTCCTTTAAACCAAAAGAAACTTTTTATAGAAACCATGAGAGCGGACCATGAGAGCGGGAGGTGGGATGTGGTAGGTGAGCGGTAGGTGGGTGTGGTAGGTGAGTGGTAGGTGAGATACTTAATTATGAAGCTAATTAAATTCAGTCGATCAAGTCTCCACATTACCCAACACTCTCAACTAATATTATTCACCACTGGTGGAGACTGGGACACTGAATGCATCACCTACTGGCTGCATCATCTACTAGTTGTACCGACATTTTCCTCAAACATGATATCCTTCACCTCTGTAACTCGTGTCTTCATCTTCATGCTAGAAGACCAGCTGAAGTTGAGCACAACTTCAGCTTCTCATGAGTAACACCCTCAATTGACATATCACCGTCAACGTAGCCTCGTACCACCAAGCTCTTTTCTGGGTTACTCTTGTACCTGCTTACAACTCCCCGTGCATGAGCAATATCCTGCCCCTGTTGAAAGCTCTTTTCAATAAGTTCAGTCTTGTACCTCTTACTGCCACCAAACACAGTCTCTACCTCTTACTGCCACTAAACACCACCCACTTGTTTTGCAATGTCTTGTTTTGCAATGTCTTCTTCCTTGGTGGAAGTTCTGTTAGCTCCCAAGTCTGATTCCCTGGCAGGGAATCCGTCTCCTCTTTCTTGGTCAGCTCCCACTTGATCGAATTCTTATCTTGCAAGATTTCTTCATAACTCTGTGTTTCTCCACCATTTCTCTGTACAATGTCTGGTTTTTCTGCCTTTTGCGCTCTACCACTTTTCAGGAAATTGACCTTCTTCTGCTTCCCCATAATGCACCTCTGACTCATGTGTCCACACCTGAGTAAACCTGTAGTCATATATAGTGTGTCAGTTTTCTTACCCCG